ATAAAGGAATTAGGAGACACAATGTTAAGTGCTGTATAAGGTAACAGAATGCAATCAAGGCCACTTTTTTATCTTGGATCAAAATCATTATATTCTAATCATGACTAAAGGGAACGGTCAAATGGAAGCTTGATGCAAACTGTACAACTGAGCAATCTGAAGCTTATCCAACAGAAAATCAAATATTGCTCATATCTTTCCCTATCTACAAGGGTAGGAAGCAATGTCTTCCACTTGAATTTTATAATCTTATTATCAGCAGACAGTATTCTTTACAATATTTGACATACAGAATTCATATTTTTTAAAATTCCAACATTAAGCTTGAAATCATTAGATATCAAGAAATTTTCTCCCTGTTCTGAATATTTCATCTTAATTTATTCCACCTTTCCATGACTGCTTATGCCAGTTATCTCGCAGGGCTTTTCAGATTTATGAGAGGGAAAAAAAGTAGCAACACAAATGAGGTCTAGAAAAGCACACCATAGCTATAAAAACAGCTCATCCATCATCTCTACATTTTGATTCAAGAGACAGCAGTGAAAGGTGTTGTTTCCACACCACTCACCCAGCACACTTAAAAAGGTTCGCTCCATCACTTATACAACTGAAACTGATTGATTAGTTGCTAGAGAAAAATCAATAGGAATATCCTAGAAAACACTAGCTTTTAAATTCATTCTGGCCCCAACAAAGTGCTGGCCACTGTTTGACATGTTTTTCTAGATATCTAAAATGGAACTGTGTCAAACCCAGCAACCTCAGCCCTGAGAACACTGTTAATTCTAAGAATTTTTAAAAACCTGAATCAGCAGGGGAAAGTAAAGAGGAGGGTCTCCCAGCTGTCTGGAAGAACCAGATGACAAACCAGAATTTACTTGGTAAACCTTAAATATGAAGATCTGTCAAAAAAAATGAATATGCTGAGAAGGTAAAATCAGTCCATGAAAACACCAAAGGAACTATGTTGAATTAGGGAAAAAGAGAAGGCTAGGAAACCAATTAAATATATTTGTTATATACAATAGAAACAAATGTTTCAGTTTAAAAATATGTATTTTTTCATGTAATCCATTTACAAGTTAATGAGCTCTCTTTTATCTCTCAATTATTCACAGAATATTTTTAGTACTTTCATAAGCCATTTTATATTGAGAATGATTTTGTGGTCACCTTCTCTTCTGAATGCCTGCTTGCCTTTGGTTTTAGTCTGTAGTCTCTTCATTCAATACACTCATAAGAAATAATTTTTATACACATAAAATGTTTCACAGTTATTTTAGAAAAAAATCAAGATCTTATTGTACATGACAGGATATGTGGGTTTTAATCATGTATTTTTTCCCTTTTTTTTTTTTTTTTTTTTTTTTTTTTTTT